ACGATGGTCCAGGAGGTATACTCTGGATTAGGGACGGTTTTATCGTTTTTGGAGATAGTTGGCGCCGGGGCTGCTTCATGACCATCAATCCATCCAAGGAGGAGATTAGCTGAAAGAGCTGTCTGGACATTGAGAGACCATGCCGGATAATTTGTTTCGGTGAGTTTTTCTGGAATTAAGTTGTGGAGACTCCGAAGTAAAAGTTTTACTCCGGAGGGTAAGGACGCCAAAGGATCCGACGGGGCTGCCATGGTGGGCGGCGGTCGGAAAAAAAAAGAGAGGCTAGGTTTTTGAGAGCCTTAGCTCTGATACCATGATACAATTTGATAATAACTTGTCTTATTGAATATTGAGAGATATGACCCTATATATAGGGAATACAAGAGTAATCAAAGCACAAGTAGGAAAGAAAAGAATAATCCTAGTAGGAAAGGAAAGAAGTATCCTAATTTAATTATACTTCCTAATATGAACTAATAACTACTCCCTCCGTCCCATAAAGTGTTATCCATTTTGACTAAAGTTGAAATTAAGGAAGGGATAATTTTGTGTTGACTTTCCAAAAATACCCTTGATGTGATGGGTAAAAGTAGGATGTGATGTGTAGATTATTAGGAAAAAGATATGATGTCATAGGTAGGGTTTGAAAAAGTAAGGGGTAAAAGTGGTTTTTTAATAGAAATGGGTAAGGGTTTGGGTGACATAATTTTTTTGAAACGTGTAAATCTTTTTGGGACGGAGGAAGTAATAGACACATGGACACAAATGCAACCTCATTCAAGTATGGTCAAATAAATTTTTTAATTACTTTGCAATTAGTCTATGAGATATCCTAGCAAATTAAGAGGAAAGGCAACGGCGTGTAAATGAGATGACACACTTGCCAGCTCCGATAAAAATCTTTTGCTTTGCGTCTGCATACCATTCCTCCACGGTTTTCAAGTGAGGTGCGAGGCACCTTTTTTTGTCTACAGTACACTTAGGCCAATCCATTTCATTGGCTTTTTGTTTGTTTGTTTTATGTGGTGTAATACAATTTTTTTTAAAGTAGAATCATTTTATTTTTACAAAGAATTTTTTTAGATGTAGTGGAACTATTTTTTGATGTTGTTTTTTTAATTTGTAAGTTTTATTTTTATTCTTTTACCAGTTATAAAAAAATGATTTTAAAAAACAAGGAGTTTTGCATCATAATTCTAAAATGTAACCTAATTTGAGACGGAAATAAAAATATGGAGCATATAAGAAAAATAATTTTTATTCATTAAAATACATTTCAATAATGTCATTTTTCAGTAAATAGAAATATTTTTTTGTTAAAACAATTAAATAGGTAAATATTTTTTTAATAATTCAAAAATAGCAAGAAAATGAAAAAAGTAATAAAAATAGTGACTTGCCACTGCAGGGCATGCCACTTCACTCAGTTGCTACACGCTGACTGGACTATTTTTCATTGGTTGAAATGTTCCATGTGAGCGTGTGACATTCCATTTCTGTCTCACCATTGCTCATGCTCTAATACCCAATTTTCAATTCTTTCTCTTCCACAACTCTCTTGTCGTTTCTCTTTCATTTAAGTATACTACTCCCTCCGTCCCTAAATATATCTCACACTTGCTTTTTCAGCAGTCGCGAGAACTTTTGTTTATTTCTACATATTCATTGGTTATTTGATAAAATAAAATATTCTTGATACTTCTTATTTTGAAAAACTTTTCATTTAGTTTTTTGATATGTAAATTTTATTTTTTATTTCTATATCAATATGTAAATAAAATGAATTGAAAAAATTTGATATTTTACCTGGGTAAGAGAAATGTGAGATATATTTAGGAACGGAGAGAGTACTTTTTTTGTTTAGATATTGAGCTCAATAGTCTATTTTTTATTCTCTTGCTCAGTTTCTATATTGTACTCACTTTATATAATACATATCGATTAATAATATCGTAATAATAATAATAATTTAGTTGTAACATTTTTTAGTATGTCCAATCTCGAATAGAAAAAAATTGATATACTTTAAATAGGAATAATTAATAACTAATGTGTAGAAAAATAAGTTGAAGAGATCAAACTTGTTTCAATCAAATCTGGTCAATCGAGAAAAGTGTTAAAAATAATAACAATATTTTGTCTATGATCATATAAATATTATTATACAATTAAATCATGTTAGATTATTTAATGTTGCACACTTTAATATTAATAATTTCTTCCCTAAAAAAATAATTTCTTCTATGATATTATATACAATTAATTCAAAATAATGTTACATATGATCAAATTATATTTATTATTATTTTAGTAACAATAACATGTTAAAAAAATTTAGTAACAATAATAATAAATTTGATCACGTGCATTCTCTATATTGTATAAAGAATTGGTCGTTTTGTCTACAAGAGATTTAAAAATAAATGTGATACCGAAAAATTGTTTTATTAGTCAATTGATTTTTTTGTTTTATAAAAAAATAAATCTAAAATAAAATTTGTTGATGTCTTATATATTGATGAATTAATTGATAATAATACGAATGATCATGATAATGTTACAAAATAAAACTATTATAATATTTTTAACTTTAATTTGAATCCAATTATAGTAGATCTAATTAGATCATAAATAATTTTATTAGACATTATATAAAATTGATATTAAATATTAATATAAAAATAATTTTATTATATTTATATATTTTTTAAAAGATTTTCAAAATATACTTTTATATAATTAATATACCATATAATTTTGATTTAATTAAAAATCACATGTTAAACTTAATTAGTTAACTATAAATAGTCAAAATAAGACAAAAACTATGGGGGAAAATGTATTAAATATAAAAACGTGATATTTCAACACTATATTTCAAAATGAATGTATTAAATTTCGATTTATATCACAATTTATTGTACTTTTGTTAATTTACTATAAAATTTAAACACATTGACTATAAAAAATTAAATAGATGGAACCAAGATGGACAAAGGGAGTACTCATATATTTATTATTGTGCCTAGATATTAATATTTTTACTACTTCTGTCCTAAAATTTTCTTCCTGTTTGAGTTTACGAGATTTGATACACGTTATTTTCAATGCAAGTTATTTGATTATGACTTTAAAACTTAAAAATACAAATTTTATTTTTATTCAGTTTACGAGAATTACTTAAAACTTAATTTTAAGTTTTTATTTTTAAGTTTTATTTCAATGAATCTATTATTATAAATATAAAACTTAAAAATAAAAATTTTATGTTTATTTAGTTTACAAGATTTACTTAAATTTGAATTTTGAAATTTTATTTTTATGTTTTATTTAACTGAATCTATTATTATAATTATAAAAGTTATAAATAAAATTTATCATTATTTAGTTTTTGAGAAAGAATTGAAAATTGGGTACTACTACGTAATTTGCTAAGATATTCAAGGGATTAATTGCAAAGTAAAAAATTTACTTGACCATACTTGAATGATGTGGCATACCTGTTCATGTGTCCATTTGTTATTGGTACACATGAGGAGTATTTTAAAGTGAAATTTGTACTAAATAGGACTAAAACATAATGGCTTTTTTAATGTAGGACTTAAACTTTTTTATTTTCTAAATAAGACTTAATAATGACCTTATGGGAGAAATAATGTCCAGTAATGATAGACATTTATTTGAATAATGACTACTCCATGATGGCCAAAAATCCTACATTAGAAAATAAAAACATATGATTCTATATTGGAAAAGTCATTATGTTTTAATCATATTTAGGTAAATTTCTCAATTTTAAAACACCCTATTTAGGAGGTGCAACTAAGGATTTGGCTAATTTAAAATAAACAAAAAAAAATGAGTTAAATTTGATCTTAAAAATAATCTCTGAAAAAATCTACGAGGAGAAGGGAGTAATAATTATTTTAGGAAAAACTATTTGAAATAATGGGAAGGAATTTGAGTTCCACCACTGTCACCTTGTCATCTGCGACTCTGCAAGTCATTCCTTCGCCATTTCCCCCCCCCTTTTTAAGAACATTGGTTGGTTGTGAGTTTTCTTTTTTTTAATGATCAAATAATTTAAAAAAATTAGTAATTAAAATGCCTAAAATATAAAGGTGCAAACAATATTGACTTACATCACGTACTGCAGGGCATTTCACTCTATGCATTTGATATTCGCTAACTAGACTGTTTTTCATTAGTTCAAATGTTCCATGTCAGTGTGTATCGTTTCATTTATACTTCATCATTAATCATGCTCTTACCGTATGGAGTAATTTTCTACCGGTAAAGTCCATCAAATTGGGGCCGGTTCCGTTGATGATTCCTGCCCCGTGGCCCATCCGGTAAAATCCTCCCATCCTATCCTAGCCTAACCCAAACTCAATCCCCAACTTTTTCAGTTTCATTCTCTAAAATAATTTTGCGACAATTTTATCTCTGAACCTAACATTGCTAAAAAATACTCCGTAGTTTATTAGGGAGTACTTCCTAAAAAATACTCTCTCCGTCCTTAAATATTTACTATACTTGTATTCCTGAGGCAAAATATCAAGTTTTTTCAATTCATTTTATTTACAAATTGGTATAGGAATAAAAAATAAAATTTACATATAAAAAAACTACATGAAAAGTTCTTCGAAATAAGAGGCGTCAAGAATATTTTGTTTTATCAAATAACCAACGAAAACGTAAAAATAAACAAAAGTTCACGCGAAACCAAAAGTTGCAAATATTTAGGGACGGAGGGAATAAGTTTTGATGGAAAACAATTAAGAATTAAGCTAGGGGTACACCAACATGGGGTACCCCAAGTGTACACCAAAGCCAACACAGATACACACAGACACAAAGTGTCTGTGTTGCCATTTTGTGTCTGTGTGTGTCTGTGTTAGTTTGGTGTACATTTGCGGTACCCATAGCATTGCCCCAACAATTAAACATCGTGGTCAGGTATCGACTCTCTGGGTATTGTCGCGTAGGGAATGGCGCACCCAACCCAGGATCGTCTTCTCGATCTCAATCTTCCCCCCTATCAAACTCATCAGAGTCTTCATTAGGGCTCATACTTTCTGGTAATTTCAGCTACTTTCATCTTATTGAACTGAATCTTATCCTAATGATCAGATCTTTCAATAACCATAAGAAGAATTCTCCGTTCTATGTCGATGAAGAACTTTACTTTGCCTATTGGTTTCTGCTATTCGATTAATTACAATCCTTTCAGCAGTTTGATTTGATTTATACTTCGATCGTGTGTATGTGCAAGCATTATATTTCTTTTATAATACGAAGTAAGAAAAATGTCGTACATAGCATTACATGTATTGGGGGTTCTGACTTTCTGTGTCTGAATTTGTACATTGATCTTCAGTCTTGTCTTCCCATTCCTGGTTCATATCTGCATCATATTATCTGTCTAAACCATCTTAAATGTGTGTATATATCGATTTGTATGGTTTTCACTTGCATTGTATTGCATAATCTGCATTATGGCTATTTTGTTTTGACTTTTGAGAAGAGAAGATTTCTTAGGTTTGGCATGTGAATATGTTATGTTTATGGGGTAAGCAATCCTTTTCATTTTACATCTGTGTCTAATTTTTGGCAAGTCTTTCATGGCCAGAAACAGCATTCAAAGTCATTGAAAGAGGTAATGATAGACAACACCTTTCGTTTCCTTTGTGACTGTCTTGCCCCGTAGTTAACCATCTAGCTCTTCCTCGTTGCCTAGTTAAGTGCCCACCCTGAGAGGCTTACCCTTAATCACCACTTATTTGAGCAGTGGTCACCATTAATTGGTCTGTCCTGCGACTTTTTATTGCTTGGCTTGCATTGGAAGATGCATTTTTGGTATTTGACCGAATGTTTTTTTTGTTATTCTTGTGGCTCTGACTCTTATTGTACAGTTGAATATTATGTTCAAAAGTTTGATGATATGTGTTACTGCACAGGGAAAAAACTGTCGAATTACAGCTCTGGCAATCAAACTTCCTTTATGAGTCATTTAAGCTAAATAAAAAGGTTGCAATTTAGTTCTATCATTTTGAGAAAAATGCATTGCGAAGAAATTCTGAAGGCTGTCTTCCCTTTCTTGGACGGCAGTGACCTTGCTACATGCATGTTAGTTTGCAAACAGTGGCGTGAAATTGCACAAGATGATTACCTCTGGAAATGTCTGTGCATAAAGAAGTGGCCATCAATATGCAAGCGCCCATCCCCTCCCACTGAAACCTTCTGCAAGTTATTCCAGACATTTTATAAGCACAAGGATAGCAAAGTCATTCTCCCTCCTAGATTGTCTTTCAATGACTTGGAATTCTACATTGACATTTGGGCTGAAGAAAAGATAATTTACTCAGAAGTGATACCGGGGCCTGTTCTCCGGAGGGGGGCATGGGTCCCGCCTCCTGGCATCTGCGATGTTTTAAGGTTTCATTTGGAAGGGCCAGAATACAAGATGACCATTCCCGTAGAACCAAGGTTTACTGTTCCTTTGAGCCAGACAGTGAGTGTTTCGGTGCTGGTAGGGCGGAAGGATAAGAATAAAGTTGCTTGCATTATTAACAAATCCATTTTTGATTATGTGGACCGAACAGCATACCGAGCTTTAGCATACGACTATCTCGAGTTCTCCTCTCCAGTTTGCTTATTTGTATCTGGCATTCGGGCATGGATATCATTACTCTTCATGGACCATGGCAAAGAAGGGGTTACTGATGTGGTTATTGATGTTTTTGGGATTGAAATGGATTTCTGTGATGCAGCTAATTCAGAAGACGAGGTTTTGTGGCTTCTTGACATGCTAGATTGGAAGTGAGCTTGTGTGGCTTTCTAATGTTTCTGCGAGGACCATAGTTTTGACCCCCCTTTATTCCAATCCAATGCTTGTATGCTCTTCATCATCGATGCTATTGTGGGGCTATATCTGTGTATAAAATGTGAAAAAAAAATTCTGTCTTCTAGTTCATGCAGTCCTAGTTTTATCTATGCACCCGCCCATACAAAAGAAGGCAAAAATGTGATCTTGTTTGTTGTCATAGACCAACTTCTTTATTTATGATGCAATAAAATTTCAAATTTCTTCTTAACAACTGTCATACAATAATTTCATACCTTGCTCAATGTTAGGGCACTTTGAATTGTATTTTGAGGTAATTTACTGGAAACCCATTTCTCATAATGCAGTCATAGGGCTCTGTGGGTATGATGTGCGAATAAAGTAATCATTACTCATTTCCACCGACATTTAACAGTGAAAATTTCATATTACCGCTTTTAAGAATAGTACTTGGTAACAATGTTGCGTCCTAGCACAATGGAGGGATTGGAGGATTCTTATGTCTACCTCTAAACAAGAAATAACAATTAGTTCATTAAGATTGCTTATAAGGTACATCATCTTATGCACTGGCAAGATTTTTCACCATCTGTTCTTTGATAAGTCTTCTCATGATTTTTCCCGAAGGTGATTTAGGAATGGTGTCAACAAATTGCAGAACTCTAACACGCTTGTAGTGCGCAACACAAGATGCTACATAGTTCTTTATGTCCTCTCCAGTATCCTTTGCTCCATGCGACAAAACGACACATGCAGCAGGAATCTCACCAGCTTCTTCATCAGGTAACCTGCAATTTAGATTTCATTGCTAAATTAATGCCGGCACCACCTCACAAGTCCATACATGTATGCAGTTCATAAAGATTACGGAGTATGTTTTATTTAAAAATAACCTTTTTAATTTCCACTTACCCAACAACAGCAGCATCTTCGACTGAAGGATGACTGAGAAGTGTTGCTTCCAACTCTGCAGGAGCTACCTGTAAGTTTAATTCACCAATCTTGATTACTCGAGGAAAGCTCGGCCTGTTTCTAGGTTCAAATTTAAGTACTCCCTTTATTCACAATAAGTGTAACATTGTATAATTTTTTGTTGTTCAGAGTTAGTGCTGCTTTATAAAAACAAGGGGACAGTTAATGCCAATTCCCCCCTTTTCCCTCTACGAAATCTAGACAGCATTTTCAATGTTATTAGGAGTATCTTGAGGGGGGGCAATATATATATATATATATATATATATATATATATATATATATATATATCATTTTATGATTCTTTAATCTTTCAAAGCCACACTTATTGTGAACCTGAGGGAGTATGAGTTAGCCATTAGTAATATTTTTACTTGGAAACCCTTGAACTTGATCAGCTCTTTGATGCGGTCCACAATGAAGATATCTCCATCATCATCAATGTAACCAATGTCTCCGGTATGGAGCCAGCCATCCTTGTCTATTGTAAGTGCAGTCTCACACTCGTTATTGTAGTAACCTAAAAATTAGTTTCTGTGAGCAGAAAAGGATTTTGATTCAACGAAAGAGTGAATTGCAGAATTAATATTTTCCACCTTTCATAACACATTGGCTTCTAACACAAATCTCTCCCGGGGTGTTTTTTGGAAGAGATAAACCAGATTCAGGATCAATGAACTTCACTTCCAAATTAGGAAGAATAAAACCTACTGAATTTTTCTTGGCAATGGCATGATCCATTCTTGGATCTCCGTGAGTAAGTGTGATGCAGCTGTGCTCAGTCATCCCATATGCCTAGCAACAAAACCAGTATTGTTAGGGGGGTGTTTGGTTCATAGAATATGATATTACTCTTTTGTCTTTAAAATCTTTAAAATATTACAAAGGTTATAACTTATAACAAGTTAATCAGAGTTACCCCCAACATTACATCAGTTTCTTACATGGAGGTTATCTCAAACCCTGAACCAGACAAGGTTTTCTCAATTTACCTTGGTTGCATTACCATGGAAATGTCAGATTACCTGGCTCAAATGCTTGGCTTTTAATTATACTAGTTTTGTGTTAATTAAACTTGAACATGGAGGGATTTTCTCTGACCTCTTGGACTTGAACATCGGGGAATTTCTTCTGGAATTCATTTAGAATTTCCGGTGCTAGTGGGGCAGCAGCCGTCATGATGGATTTGAGTTTGAGCTTGGTGAGATCATAGGTATCCACAATGGGGTTCTTGACCAAACCCAAAATGATGGGTGGCACAATTGGTGCAAAATTGACTTCATGGGTGATGAGTGCGTCAAGAAATGCTCCCAGTTCATATCGGCGCATCACCACCACTCTCCCTTTGTTTCTCATGGTTGCACAACAAATCCCAACCAATCCATATATGTGGAAGAATGGGATCAGACCTAGTATTACCACATTCCCAATTAACTCCGGTCCTACGCTGAAAAGTGAAGAGCAAAGGTTAGCCACCACATTCCTATGTGTCAGCATCACCCCCTTTGACACCCCAGTTGTGCCCGATGAGAATGGAAGGGCACAGAGATCACTCTGCTTCACCACCTCATCTTCTGGTATCGTGAGGTCATTGCTCGCACGGTCTGCAGCTTGGAGCAGTTCATCCCAGTTTATTGTTCCCTGAACTTGCTCTTCATCTACCACTATCACTGGAATGCCCAAATCTTTCACCTGTCATATGTGAAGATAGATAAAAAAAAGTTGTTTTGCTTACTGATATCAGGTTTTCTAATGAAATGGCTCTTCATCACACATGGAGAGGACATCGAATGCTACACCATTATTGGCGGTACGTTTTAAATTTCAAGTATATGTCCTGTCAATTATTTGTACCCATCTGTTCCTATATATCTGTTTCTATTGATCAAATCCCGAAGGGGGGAAAACTATAGTTACAAAGGAACTTTAAAAAAATGCACTTGGAATATGACTTATCGGAAATATATATTGGAATGGTAAATTCGTCAAAAAGTTACAGTATATATGGAGGGAATGTTTACTTTCATTTTAATTGTTCTGTTTTATCATTTGAAAAAAAGGTGAAAACTTGGAAATCAGTAATTATTCTTCATGTTTTTCATAAAAGAACAGATAATAAGGGAAATACCTACTTTTTTCCCCTGAGATTCTACTGTGTTGTTGTTGAATGACACAGTAACAAAAGGACACAGTAACATAAATAACCATATATACGTGTGGGACTGGGAGGGCGTGTTTTCTTTTGAAAAACAAAACTGTGTTGAAGATTGAAATTACCTTGTGACAAGTTGGTGCATCAGTAACAAGGAGCTTTGCGTCTGCAACTTCAACTTGCTTCTTCAGTTCAGATGAATGTGACGCTGGGTTTGCACCAGATATGACCCCGCCTGCAGCCATGATTCCCAGTGCGATAATGGCGTATTCAGCCACATTCGGGAGCACGACCACCACCACCCTACCCTTCCTCAACCCTAGTGACCTTAGTGCCTTGGCGAACCTCCGGATGTCCCTCAAGACCTGGCCATAGGTGTACTCTTTCCCAGTGGTGGAATCTACTAAGGCCACATTGTTAGTGTAGGGCTCTATGTTATGAAGCACGAAATCGGGCAGAGTCATGTCATCTGGAACTTGCACCGAGGGATATTTGCTCCGGAAAATATGGTCTTCGTTCGGTTTCGCCATGGCCTGTTGCCCAACCTCAGATCCCATGCTTGGCAGTACTTTGTTGTGTTTCCTAGGAAAAATGAAACTAGTAGTTTGATGTTCTGAGTGAGTTGATATAATAATTTATAGAAGTGTGTTAGAATTTATTTTTTTTTTAAGTTGGGGGTAGGAAAAGAGTAGAAAGAATGCAAAATGGATGGTGAAATTGTAGTAGGCAATTTTATAGGTAGGAATTTGTTGAATCATTCCATTTTGCATTCATAAAAACTGATGTGACTTGCCAAATGTTTCTTTAGCCCATTTGTGTATTTCCTACTCCACGTTTTGATATGATTAGAATAAGTTCTGATCTGATTGTAAGTATACTCAAAATTGTTTCTAATCTGATTACAATAAGAATAAGTTAGAAAAAAATAAGCTCTAATGTTTCCTCTATAGTAGATTACTTACAATTTGCAGTTTGATTTTTTCCGTCAATTTTTGGTTACTCTGGTTAGTTCTTAAATTATTATATTTTCCCAGCACAAAAATAAAAATCCACTTTAACTGGACATGAATATTTGAAAAATTTATTTGATTGAGATTTATTTACTCTCAAAGTTCATTGGTTATTGCTGTTAGTTCTTAAAACTTATGGAGTATTATATTTTCTCCGCACGAAAGAGAAATTCACTCTGATCTAACATAAATACAAAGATAATTTTGGGATGAACAAAAGAAAATGTAAAGATAATTTTGGAACTGATTTAGTATTACTCCCCCCGTCCCGTTTTAAATCGCTCATTTTGACTTTGGGGCATATTTAAGAAAGAGAAAAAATAGAGTTGACTTTTCGAAATTGTCATTACTTTTTAGGAGGGGTGACGATGAATGAGAAGATAAGATGGAGAAGAGTGAGTTATTTTAGGGGTAATTTAAGTATTCTATTCTGAAAAGTTTACGATAATAAGAAATAAATAACTTATTTTAAAACGGAAAAAAAAACTGACAATTTAAAATGGGATAGAGGGAGTTTTTATTAGATCAAAATACTCTTTTGGCTTTTATCCATTTTTTATTTTAATTTTTTTAAAGAACTGCGGAAATTGTTGGTTTAATTTTTGGGCGAACTGAGTTGATTCTTACTGATCTATTTCGTATTAAGCATCATTTTGGTCGATTGTATACATTATCTTGTGGGTAGTTGAACTCAATCAAATACTCCCTAGATGCTTAACTTCTAGTTAATTCGATTTCCAGTTTTTTTATCGCATTAACAATTTAAGACCATGCTTGTGAATAATATTTTCAATTAATGTTTGTGTCACAGTTTTCAAAAAAAAAATACGTGCAAATTAACTTTCAAAATACTAAAGCTAAAAGCGTTATTAGATACGGAGTAGCATTTTCAAAGCTTAACATTGAAGTTGTTGCCAAACATGCCCTAACCCACAAAAAAAGGCTTTGATTTCTAGTTAAGCTTTACCTTTTTATAAACAACACCAAAAAGGACAATAAGAAAGCCATTATAACTTGACAGAATATAAAAATGAGCAGAGTTTCTTTTATAACTCAACAGTTGGAAATGGAGATACAAAAACCCTGCAAGAACTTGGGATATACGTAGAATACATCAAGAACCAAGCTGGGCAGGTTACTCAAAGTGGGTTTCTGGATACAAATCTACTAATTATTTGCATCAAATAAATAGTTTTACATTTAACAAAAATAATTGGAAAAAAAGAATAGCACAGGGCTTGAAAAGTTTGCCCTAATTTGAACTCTGAATGAAAATATGCCACTCCAAAACTTGCTGTGTATTGGTGAAGTGAAATTTAGTAGCGGAGCCAGTACGTTCTGCGTCTGAACCAGTTGTAATCTGGTAAATTCTGGATCGGCCCGACTGCCGAAATAGCCACATCCTGTGATGAAAGATAATAAAACCAAAAAAAAGGAACCGGGTCAGACAGAGAGTCACGCAGGGGAAATTTTCACTGTAAAATAGTCGTGATTTCTTTACCCGATCAAAGATAAACCGGTTTGCAACACGTTTGACTGTGCTTGAGTCAACGGCGTCAATCCTAGCGAACAATTCAGAAAATGGGATTCTTCGGCCATACGTGAGAAGCTGCGGGAGGAAATGGGTTCAGTGCTCGTTATTCCAGCAATGGATTATCTTATTTAATGGCCACTACCAAAATAGTATATGAGAAATTATAGGGTTAGATCAGATCATAAATAAAATTTACCTGGCGACCAATATCTTCAGCAACAGGACTGGTTCCATCAATGTGAAGCATCAGAGAAGATTTTAGCTGTGAATACATACAAAGTTAGTGGGATAAAAGAAACAACTTTTTAAAATTGAAACACGTAATGCAATCCTCTTTACAAAAAAAAGTGACATTTTATAAAGGCACAAATATTCAGTTTTGGTGGAATACAATCGTAAGAGTTATCAACCTAAATTTTATTTTTTGGTGCACTATGGAGGGAGGGGGGGTGCATTTGAAACAACCTAAACATTCACTCAACCAAACAAGTTCAAACATATCTTTTTGGGACAAGAATTCTATTAACTGGGGTGTTCATCAGTTTGGTTTTGCCAATTTTATTGTTGTTGGTCCGGTTTTTGTTTTTTCAAATATGCAACCCAAAAACTAAACTGATTAGCGTAAGGGTGTTCCTCTTCAACTTATATTTTTACAAATAGTTAGACCAGATTAAAAATACGGAGTATATACAACCTTAACTTTAATCATATCAGAATAGATTTAGAGTGCAAAATCTAAACAGATCAGACGTTAATAAATTCATATTAGAACTAATCAGATCATATGAAGACAACATGCTCTAAAGTTGGTTTCGGTCCGATTCTGTTTTGGTTATTTTTGGTCAATTTTAGCATTTTTAGTACTCCTTTCGTCCCGAAATAATCTTCCGGTTTTGACTTTGAATGAAGTTAAAGAAAAGAAAAATTGTGTGGTTGAAATTTGTGCAGAGGAAAGAGAATGAACGTGAACCATAGAATTTTTTCTTTAAAATGAGATGGGAAGATAAATAGGGACATCCAAAAAAGAATGGTGGGAAGAATATTTAGGGACGTAAAGAGTAAGTTCTTGTTGGTTTTGGCAAGTTTGGTCACTTTTTTATGCATAAACTTAAATCGACACAACAATGAAATGGTCGATTTGGGTTTTGATTGATTTGGTTTTGGTCAGTTGGTCAGTCTCTTTTGTCTTTTTTTGTTTGAGTTCAGTCATACTCCATACAATTACATTAGTTTTTTTAAGGCAAATTTCACAAGAACACTCCCAGAAATTAGAGATTTTACATAAATACTCCCAAATTTGTTTATTTACACCATTACTTCCACATTTCTCTTTTATTTACGTCGTTACTCCGCGATTGCTTCATCATCAGTGTTTCTCGGGTGCCTCTTTTTATACGGGGTTTTTCATCTTTTTTTATTGAATTCAAATTAAATTAATATGAACAGACTTGATACTAATCATTAAAAAGATTTAAGAAGTTTGAAATCTCAATTTTTTTTAAAGTGATGGGAAATAAGGGCAATAATTAGGCTTACTAAGACGTGAGAAAGACGGTGGAGAGAATAAGTTGAAGTGAACTTAGTATATTAGAGTGGAAAAAATACATGTCTGCATTTTAACTGTTCACTTAACGCAAAAATGACACATCCAAGTAACACTAATGATCACTACCAAATTTGGGAGTAACAACGTAAATAAAAGAGAAATGTGGGAGTAATGATGTGAATAAACAAATTTGGGAGTATTTATGTAAAATCTGCAATTTCTGGGAGTATTCTTGTCAATTTTGTGTTTTTTTAACTGGCAAATTGGTGAAGAGGTTTGAGGAACAGTGCGGCGACTCTGGTTACAATTACATTAGTTTTTGGGGATTGGGGACGGGGGGATGCATACTTCCTAAATACATGCATCTATCTTTTTCACACACGCGCGCATGTGTCAATAAATCAACAAGCAAGTACCTGGTTACGCGCACGAGTCACATCGGCCTCAGAAACCCTATAGCACAACTTGCTTAGTTCGTACATGATTGAATATGCCAAATCATCCAAGCAGTCTGGCTGTCATGTCAATAGATGAATAAGACAATCAGGTCCCTGCTAGCAGTACAGAGAAACATAGCCAAAGCAAAAGAAGACCCTATTTAACCTTAGCAGATGCATAGACACCAAAGAGACCAGTGTCCTTGTAATTGGTATTGAAGGCCATCATATTTTCTGCAATTTCATTTATGCTAATCCTTTGTGCAAGCTCGGAACTACAAACACAATTCAGTGAGCAATCCTCAAACAAACATAACATTCCGGTGAAAATGTATTGACTAGTGAATAATTTGTGTAATGCTTCAGAAATTATGAAGCCATTTGGCAAGTCTAAAAATGGATGAGTGTTGAAATTGTTGCAGTCGTATCTGATATAACTTAGTTAGCTGAATCTATTAAATAAATATTCAAAACATATGTTCCCTCCGGCCCATAAAATTCCTTATACTATCATTTTTTGGACGTCTCAAAAAATACTCTACACTCTATTCCCTATTTTGGTAATGAATATGTGGCTACCAACAATTCTCTCACCTCTAAACAAATTCTAGCCACTTTTCACTTTTCCACAACTTTCTTAAACTCCTTGAATTCAAAGTGTCATGAATGTAATGGAACAAAGGGAGCATTTAAATTATAAAGAAAAGAAAATAATATCTAATCCGTAATAATTAACCTAAGAGTATCAATTCCATCCATTTTAGCTAAATAGTAACTCATGCACTACTTGTTTTAAGTGAAATATCAACAATTAGTGTTTGGTGACAAAAAATGACTAATAAGCCAAAACTGAAAGCTACCAGATAGGTTATACGTTTTCAAAATACTAACCCCATGTGTTTCCCGCCACCTGCATTTTTATTCCATGATCCCAACATGGTCTGCATAACCATCAGAGCAATGGAATCGGGATCTGTCCAGGATGCACCTTCGAAAGCAACAGCAAATTGGGCCAATGGGATGTCATCATCAATCATCCTGACCTGATTTTATTTCCAGATAATGATGATTAGTGCTATATTTGTTACGAAATGTTTTTAAAAAGAAACCACTCAAATGAGATGTGTGTACCTCTGAACCTGTAAATACTGAAGGTCCTTTAGCAATTAAATCTGAAGCAGTAGTTGGATTTGTTGACAGATTTGTAAACAATTTCTGAACTTCACCAACAAAGTCTTCATGTTTAACAGGACCAGATGCAACAATCACCTACACACA